TTTCCCAAGCAGTAATGAGGAATGGTTAACTAGACAGACAAGTTTCGTTGCCCTTCTGTAGGGAACAGAGAAACTGATACGCCAGCCTAACTCTACTGCTAATTAGGAGAGCTTGAATTGGGCCCAGAAATTGTTAACAAAAGACAAAAAGAGAGCAACTGGAGAGAAACACTTTAGTGCGTACGTTCCGGTAGCTTTATCTTCATGGCCAAGAAGGAGCTGTAGGTGAACAGTGGATGCTCTGAGGAGAACAGTAGCAGTAACCTGGTAATAGCTATTTGTGTCCTTGCCTCTTGTGGTGGTGTAGTTTAGAATTTGTGGGGTTTTGGTGGTTTGTTTGTTTAAAGTTAGTAAATCTTGGTTTAGACCAGTGGCTTCTGAACTGTTGATGAAGTCGGACTGCTATCAGTTCACAAAGTTTCTTGTGAACCACTGTGGAACTATATATGTCTAATTGTGAAATTGAAGACACTGTAAAAATGAGACCAGTTCTGCAAAGCCATGCTCAGTAGCTTTGACACCACGGTTCAGGAGCTGTTAATTTACGTAATTGACAGATTTATGCAGGGATGTACAAGGAACACTTTCAAAAACATCTAAGATTCAAACCCTTTTATACTCGGGTCACTCGACAGGATCCATACTGTGCTTGCAGTGAGTGGTTGTTAGTGGCTTAGTCTTTCATGAAGTAAATCTTGCCTTCTGTTTTAGGTGTCCATTGCACCGTTGCTGTAATTGCATCTCTGCTGCCAGTCTGGAGAAAGCAATGCGAGTCCACGCGGCGGTGGTGGCATTCTGTCCCTGCTAGAATTAGAAGTAGTCCCACTGGACATTTAACACTGTGGCTCTGTGAGCAGCTAAGCTGGCAGAAGTTGGCAGCGCTGCCCTGCACTGCCTGCTCCCTGTGCTGGCACACGTGTCAGCCAGACAGTGAACTGGTCTGAGGAACCGAGCCAGGTTAAAAGTAACCCGGAGGGGGAAGAAAAACCAAAAAGGGCAGAAGTAAATTTTAATCCAGGTTAGCTTGCGGACAATAATTGTATGAATACCCCTGCTGGCACATGAAGAGGCCTAGATGGTCTAAGATTAGGCGTTTTGTGTGTTTTGATCTAATGGCTGATCTGTAGCCCCTGAAGAGTGATTACAGAATCTGTTTCAAAACCAAAGGAAGGAATCAGTCCAACAGAGAAACTTATTTGCGTTGTTTACCCAGCAGAGGGTCCTGTATGCGCAGCTGAGAAGTTTTTAAACAGTGAGCAGCTGGTCATGGGTATTGTGATTTGTGTGATACTGTGCATGCCTACTCTTGTATTTTTAAAGATTACTGCTTTCTTTTGTGGATAAGACACAGGCCTTTAGTACCTCTGTAAAAATTCATGCTTTGAAGCATGAAAGAGGAAATAAAGCAGTTAAAAATGAATAAATTCCTTGTGCACGCAGGTTGATGGTGAATGGATGAACTGGAAATAAATTTCTGGTGTTAAAAATGAGCAGGAGAAACTTTCTCTCTTGCATTATGTAAACATTTTCTCCAGTTTTTAAGTTGGAGTTTTGTTGAGAGTTGTATCTCTTAATAAAACAAAACTCCAACTTAAAAACCATTAAAGCAAAAATATAAGTACTGGACTTTTTTGAGGTCTGATTCTTAGGATTTTAATTGTTTTCTTCAGTAATTGATGCCATTGCTCAATTTACAAACATCCAAAGTAGGAAAAGCAATAATTCTCTTATTTCCCATGTTTAGTAAAGTAAGCTACTTTTAGATAAGCTTGCTTTTAGTTTTCTGTTTATTGAGCAGGTTCCTTCTGTCTGGAAAATCTGAAAGAAACACAAACTGATGCTGAAATGTCAGTATAGACTTAGGTTTTCTCCTTGTGTACAGCTGCTTGTTCCTCTGATGCTTTCCCTTGAATGTGCAATATCTTGTCCTCCTCATAAAACATCCTCTTAGAGCCATAACGAGCACGGGGATTTCTTGTGTGTGTGGTTCAAGCGATGAAGTACCAGCTGTGCCTTGCTGAGCTTTGGCAGTGCCTGTGGCTTTGTGATACTGTATTTTTCAAGTTAATAGATAGCCGTTCAGTACTTGTTTCTAAATTATGTTGTTTATTGCTAGATATTGCTGAAAACTTGAATAGATGAGCAACTGGATATGACACACCTCAAAGAAATAATGAGTTATTCTGAAGTGAGATAAACTAAAATGTTTGTTTTAAAATGAAGTGACAACTGGATCATGTGCCACACACTTCAGAGCCAAATCTGTGTGGAGGAAGCTCTGGTTCTGCCAGTGCTCTGAACAGGATTACATGCCACCTTATCAAAGGTAGCAGCGAAACTGTAAAACACTCAATTCCTTGCTGAGGAATCCAGTTCTGTTGGCTGTAGGTGTACGGCCGACTTCTGGCTTCTCAAAAGCTGAAAGGTGCCGTGTCCCTTCCCTTTGCTCTTCAGCAACAAAATGTACCCGCACACCCCACCCCGAGCAGGCTAAGTTTTCGGACAGAAGGAACAGTGATAGATCCTTTATTCTACCGTGCTTCTGGTATTTTGAATCACTTTTCTCTGCATAAATAACATCTATTGATTTTCACAGGCATCATTATGAAAGTAATGTGTTCAACCTTACTGCTAGTAATGAGTTCTGAACAGGTTATTGGGCACTTTCAATCTAGATAATTTCAGAAAAATAACTGCAAGAAAAGTAGTGGTATTATATCGACAGTATGGAGAAAACAGACTTAGACTTCTGTTGCGTTTAGTAGATATTTGTGTAGGTGTTTCAAGTTCAAGAAGGCGATGGCTGAGTGTTTTTTATTTCCCTTCCCCCAGTGAGGTTGGCACTTCTGCAGTGTGTGTTGCCGTGCTGATGGTGAGCTGTGAGTAAAGCCACTATACTTGGAGGAACAACTTCTTACCGTTTTAATGGAAGTATTTCTTCCTGGAAGCTCTGGTTTGATCATAATTCTGTGCCAGTCTTAAATTGTACAGTTGTGACTTGATTTTTCTAGCAGGTCGTCTGCCTTAGGCTTTGAGGTGAGCCGGCTGGCTGGGGATGGGGACTGGGCAGTGTGTGGGGAGCCCTGTCCTGCTTGGAGCCGGGCTCTGGCAGGTGCCAGGTCTGGGCAGTGGAATCCCTGGTCCTCCTGGGGGCTGTGAAGCTGCTGGAAGGTCCATTTCTCAGGGCAGTTGAAGTATTTAGGGACAGGTTTTGTTTTGAAACCAGGATGGGCATTGCTTCCCCTACAAAATCTTCTAGTAACAGCATGAAGGGGTGAGCGTCTGTATGAGGGGGGATAACATTTGATGCATGTGGAGTCAAGGTGAAACCGTGGGGTTTTTTTGTTTGGCCTTGTTTTGAAGGTTTTTGATTTGGTTGGTTTTTTTTTCCGAAGCGTAACACAGAATAGAAAATTTTTTAGACTTAAAAGGCATCACTTTCAAACAAGCTGTTTTGACGCTGAAATTGAACTTCATGCTGTCGTGTTACTGTCAATTGGTCAGACTTCAGTGTGGCAGTTCGTTGGGATTTTGTAGTCCATTTTGGCTTTGCTAGTTTTGTGCACAGTTAGTTTCTAGTCGCGCCTTACTTTGACCTTTCGGCACCATCTCGAACCTTTTGCTCCATAGACTTCACGGAATTTGTGTATTTCGAGTTCTTCACTGTGGTTTCCCTAGTGGTGAAAACTCTGTCCTGTTACACCTGAAGAGCGTGTAATACTATTTTTTTTTCATTTGCAGTTGTCGTGGTTTAGCCTGGCTGATGGCACATGCCCACCAAAGCTGCTGTATCACTCCCCCTCCTCTGCTGGACAGGGGAGGGGAAAAAGCCCAAGCAAACAACGAAAGGCTGGCGGGTTGAGACAAGGGCAAGGAGAGATCACTCACCAGTTACCATCACGGACAAAACAGATTGAACTTGGGGAAATTAGTTTAATTTATCACCAATTAAATCAGAGAATAATAAGGAGAACTAAACCCAAATCTTAAAAACACCTTCCCCCTCCCCCCATCCCTTCTTCCCAGGCTTGACTTCACTCCTGATTTTTCTCTCGGGGAACGGGGAATGGGGGTTGCGGCCAGTCCATCACACGCTGTCTCTGCCACTCCTTCCTCCTCAGGGCAGGACTCCTCGCACTCTGCCCCTGTTCCAGCGTGGGGACCCTCCCATGAGCTGCAGTTCTCCATGAGCTGCTCCAGCATGGGTCCTTCCCATGGGGTGCAGTCCTTCAGGAACAGGCTGCTCCAGCGTGGGTCCCCCACGGGGTCACAAGCCCTGCCAGCAAACCTGCTCTGGTGTGGGCTCCTCTCTCCACGGGTCTGCAGGTGATCTGCTCCACGGACTGCAGAGGAATCTCTGCTCTGTTGCCTGGAGCGCCTCCTCCCCCTCCTTCTGCACTGACCTTGGTGTCTGCAGAGTTCTCACTCTCCTGCTGGAAAATGCTGTTACACAGTTTTTTTTCCCCCCTTCTTAAGTATGTTATCTCAGAGGCACTGCCACCATTGCTGATGGGCTCGGCCTTGGCCCCTGTCGGCTGGCACTGGCTTTATCAGACATGGGGGAAGCTTCTGGCAGGTTCTCAGAGAAGCCACTGCTGTAGCCCGCCCTGCTACCACAGCCTTGCTACACAAACCCGGTACAGCAGATGAGATGTGTTCCTCTGGCTATCCCAAATAAGGTAGACAATTCCTTTGATAATCAGAATAAGTATGTTTGAGATGTGGCAGAATGTTTCCCAAGTCGTGCTTCTTGTATGTTTTACAACCCATCCAACTCTTCTTATGGACAGTTTTTATAATTAATTCAGCAAAGAGGCTGCAAAAACATATGTCCCTCACGCGTATACGTTAAGACGATTGATAGTTCACTAGTTTGGCAATAGTCTGGTAATAATATTACTGCTTGCTTTTTGAACTGCCATCTGGAAAGAAAAGAAAACTTTGCTAAAAAAGTGTGTGAGAATTTTAATGTTTAAATCT